TTGGACCAAGAAAACCATAGCTCAGGGGGCCGCAGGGTCCCACTCCCTTCCACAGGGTGGTGGTGGTATGTAGGGCCAGGTGAGGATGTGCCCTCCGACCTGGCACTGGCCTGATACCCTTATGCTCTCCTTACTCCTCAGCCCCAAACTCCCACACCTGCCCATGGCCCCAGGTCCAGGGGCCAACTGGCAGCCATGACACTCACTTGTGGGTGCCCTGGAGGCTTGTCTTGTTTAATCTTCCCTCCAATCCTGTGAGGTGTCACACTTATTCCTCCATTGTCCAGAGGAAGAAACTGGGGTTCAGAGAGGTGAACTCACTTGCTCCAAACCACCCAGCATTAGGCAATGGAGTTCAGATCTGCATTCAGGTCACCCCACCTGCCTTAATCATTGTGTCCCTCAGCCTAGCCCTCCAAAGTCACCACACTGAGGCCAGGTGGGGCCGGGGGGTCCTGCTGCACTGCTCTCAGGGACCAGGGGCTGGCCTGGAGCCTGGCTCCCTGACAAAGTTTTGCCATAGGCATTAACCTAAAGCCTACGTCACTTCCCAGAATCTCACCCAGATGGATAGGGTCAGGGCTCAGGACTGTGAAGTTGGCTTGTTCTGGTGCTCACACCATCGCATGTGGTGGAAATGACCTGGCCCCTTGGGAAGAGGAGCTGAGGGGGTCTGGGAAAATCCACAGACGCAGGCAGGCCCTGGAGGACAATGCTCAGTAGACAACCCCTGCACCCCTCCCTTCTCCTCCCCGGAAACCTCCAAGGTGGGCTGCTCCAGGCCCAGAGTGGACTTCTTAAATAGCACCCAGGCCTGCCCCTCCACGGAGGCAAATTCAACCCAGGACCTCGAGGGCTTATAGAGGCCCAAGGGCTTCAAACAACCATTCAACAACCCTTTCTCAGGGGACTTCACTATTCTGCCTTCAGCTTGTCAAGAAGTGAGACTCAGTGACCCTCCACTCCCCAGGTCTCCACACAGCTGCAGTGGAAATCCCTGTCAGGTCCATTGGGATCTTCCAGACAGGGCTACTTTGTCTTATCAGACAATGAAAGCCACATCACCCCTGGGGGTTCCTCTGGAAGCTCCCCTGTCCTTTCTTGGCCTGGCTCCTTTCCAGTCATCACCACAATCTGTGACAAGGTCCCAGGACTGTTTTGTGCCCGAGGACACTGAGATTCGAGAGGATGAGGCTTGCTGAGGGCCACCCGGCTGGTGATAGGGCCATGACCCAAACCACATCTGTCTGCTGCAGAGGCAGGACCCCACTTGACACACCCAGACAAGTAGGCAGCTGTCCGGCATTCTCAGCTCTCGGGCTTCCCCAGTGAACCTGGGCTGGCCTTGCTGAGATAGGGCCTCAGGCCTCATCATCCCATTTCGCAGAGGGAGGGAGAAGAACCAGAGGTTAACTGCCCGTGCAGCCCTGGTCAAGGCTGTAGCAGCCCTTCTGGATTCCAGGGGACTGGGGGGACTTGCTCCGGTTTCTCCAACACTCTCGCCTGGCGGGCTGCGAGTGCGCTGGACCTCCAGGGCGAAATCAAGAGGTGTGTCTGAAAAGTCCAGCCAGCGTCCGCCTAGGTCGGGCCGCCCCCAGGAGCCCGTCCAGACCAGCGCTACTTGCTGGCTTTGTCCACAGCACTCCCGCCCCAACTACCAGCCGGCGCAGAACAAGGGGTTGGGGGCGTTTCCGCTGTGGCCTCCCGGCGGGCGGGACCCCAAAGGAAGACGGCGGAGGGTGGGGGGGGGAAGCACTCTGGCGGCCGCTACGGGAGCCTCGAGCTCCCGTAGACCGAGCCGGGAACAAACCTCCCGCCCGAGCCTCTCCCGAAAAGCCGCCCGGCCCTCGGGCTCCCGGGCCACGGCGAGCCCCACCGGGCGCTTCCCGAGAGGAGCGGCGCCCGCGACGGCTCGGGGGCGGTGTCCTGGCGCTCGGTCCGTCCGTCCGTCCGCCCTGCGGGAGACACCCCAGCGCACGTCCCGCTCCGGCTCACCCACCGTGCACCAGTCTCCGCATGTCCTGGTAGCGGGCCCACAGGTGTGCGCTGAGTTCGGCGCCGCCGACGGGCGCGGAACGGGGAGTGCCGGGGCAGTGGGCGCCGGGACCCGGGGGGCCGCAGCCAGGGCAGGAGGGCGAGGTCGAGGCGGCTCGCGGCCCGCCCTGTTCTCCGCACAGCAGCCAGCGCCGAGCGGCCGCCCGCAGCCCCGCGCCCGCCATGCCCTCCGCGCGCCGCCCGCGCTACCCTCGGCCCCTCCGGCCAGCCCGCGGCCCTCTGACTGCGCGCCCGCCACGGTGGCCGCGTGCTGCTCACGGCGGCCGGCCAATGGGCGCGGCGCGCGGAGCACAGCAGGCCAATAGGCGCGCCGCTCGGCCCGGGGGGCGGGAGGTCTCGGCCAGGCGGGCGGGCGGGGCGGGCTCCCTGGCCGCCTCCCCCCAGTCTCCGGCGCGGCGGCGAAGGACCCTGCGCCCCCCTTCGGTAGTCACGGCGGCGATGGTGGCTCCGTCTCCTGTGGGAAGTCGGAGGGCCCAAGAGCCGCCGACTCCTCAGCTGCACGGCAGAGGCGCGGAGAGGAGGTGGCCCGAGCGCAGCGGTCCACCCCAGCCCCCGGGTCCTCCGCCCCTCCCCCACGCCTCTGGGTCCTCCTGGCCCCAGATCCTCCGCTCCTCTCCTCCAGGGCCCGGGTCCTCCTTTCGCGGGACCCTGTCCCCCACCTCCAGCCCATAACTGCCCGCTGACCAGAGCCTGGGCCGCTTCAGTTTATCTGTTTAGCGAATAAAAGAGCCCTCCCCGCGCTCTCCCTGGTGCCAGTCCCAGACTGGGTGAGACCACAGGACCTGCAGGGCAGCCAACGTCCACTGAGCAGCTGCTTCTCCCGGTACCGTACCTCCAGGTGACCCCTTGTAACTCAGAGCAGTGGGCCAGGGGTCACTGTGCCGGCTTGGTTCTGACCGCATTAAATCGCCGCATGACCCGCCCTGGCTCCTGGCTTCCAGGGGCAGGCCCCTCTTGAGATGCCATGGTCTCTTTTAGCTTTGTCGCTAGACTTTCCAAGGAAGTTCGTCTTTTCGTCTTGGAACCGCTGTCCCCCCCACATTTCTTCTACTCAGATCTGTTTTCGGAGCTTGCACACGCACCAAGCTGTGCACTGGGCCTGGAGGAGGCTGACCCGCACCCGTGGGCCCTGTGGGTGGGCAGCTGGCCAGGTGGGAACACATTGTTGCCTGGGGTAGCTTCGCGGAGTTTAAGGGTGCACGTGTGTTTGAAGCTCCACTGAACTTCGGCTGAAGACCTACAGTGTGCCAGACACTGAGCCAGGCACTGGTGAGGATCGAGGCCAAAGGGTGGGCCCATGGGTGGTGGCGCCCCTGAGGGCTCCAGTGAGCTAGACGGGCGCTGGGGATCTAGCCTCATAGAACCTCCTCCAGGCAAGTGGACACCCTGTGTCATCCGGCCCTCAGACCTACCAAGAGAAAAGAGCCAGCACCAAGCTGGTGTGTGCGTGTGTGCGTGCGTGCGTGAGTGCGTGCGTGTGTATGTGTGTGTGCAGTGAACACAGAGCAGAAGGAGGCTTCCTGGTTGGCCCTTCAGGGCCAATTACAGGGGACAGCTCAGGCCATTCACTGCCTGCCTTATGACTCTTTTTGGGGTCCTGCACGTGTTCTTTCTCTCTCTTTCCTCTAGTCTGCTTTTGTATATTGTGGATCCCTATCGCCAAATCCCCTCATTGGTTCTAAGCTTTCATTTGATTTTCTTAGATTCTCTAACAGTAGTTTCCATTCTCAAGCTGTTCCTCCAGTTGTTATTTTAGCCCTAGGTAATGGGATGACAGTCCCTTACAAATATCTTCAGCAAGCACAGTGAGGCAGCATGAGAGGATATAATGATGAGTGGAGGCTCTGGAGTTAGAGCTCTGCTTCTACCTGGCTCAATCTCTTAACTTCTCAGCTAAGGGAGTACATATGAAAAGCCAAGGCTCAGCAAATCATTATCATTATCATAATACTGTAGAGAAAGTTCCACATTTTACCCTCTGGGAATGGAGACAGGCTAAGGTAGTACCTGTGGAGCAGGGATGTGGTTTAACAAAAGCCCACGCTCTATTTATTTATTTATTAATTAAGACGGAGTCTCGCTCCGTTGCCCTGGGTGGAGTGCCATGCGTCAGCCTAGCTCACAGCAACCTCAAACTCCTGGGCTCAAGCGATTCTCCTGCCTCAGCCTCCTGAGTAGCTGGGACTACAGGCCTTGCCAACACACCTGGCTAATTTTTTCTATTTTTAGTAGAGATGGGGGGGGGGTGTCTCACTCTTGCTCAGGCTGGCCTCGAACTTATGACCTCAAGTGATCCTCTCGCCTCCGCCTCCCAAGAGTGCTAGGATTACAGGCGTGAGCCGGCACTCCGGCCATCCCAAGCTCTTTGACCATCATGCTCTTCTGCGATTATTGTGAACAGAGCACCTACAAATACCCGTAGAACAGTAAGTGCCTCACACATCATAGCTTTTATTAATTTTAGGGTTGTTTGTCGCAAGGCGCTTACTTAGACTTTTGTTGTGATAATGATAAAATTCAGCTTTCAACAATGCATGTCAAATTCTGTTATTTTATAAGTCTAATCACGTGCCCGAAATAAACGCAAGGCGTTGCGTAATTGCATTTTAGAGTGTGGTGCAGTACAGGATTAGTCCATCAAAGAGGGTCTCACTTCCACCAGGGTATTAAGAAAAAAGATGGCCGGGGCAGATGAGGGCGCGCGACTGGCAACTCCGAGCTCGGGCCAGCACCGGGGAGGCCGGGGCCAGGGCGGGGCCGACGCCACGTGGATGGCCCCGCCCCCTTGGGCCGCCGCGACTCCAGAGCCGAAGCGCATGCGCCAGCTCCTTCTGGCTCGGCTCAGCCTCACGGAGCACGCGCGCCCCACAGTACTCTGATTGGCGGATCTGCACGCCCCGCTGCACCCCGATTGGCGGACCTGGCTTTCTCTCACCAGGCTGCAGTCGCTCGGCGCTTGGGCCTCTGTGCGCTGCGAGGACTGGCGCGGAGGCCTCGGCTGCGTTCGGCGCTCCGTGGCGCCTGGTTCCGCCATACCTCTCTCCACGACCTCAATCGAGCATGTTCTCCAGGGCTCAGGTGAGGCGGATTCTGCAACGGGTGCCCGGAAAGCAGCAACTCGGCATCTACAGGTTCCTGCCCTTCTTTTTTGTCCTGGGAGGATTGATGGAGTGGATCATGATTAAAGTGCGCGTGGGCCAGGAGACCTTCTGTAAGTGAGGGTGCAGCAGCCTCGTTTCCTTTCAGGAATGCACGAGGCGGCAAGGATTCCTTTTTCCTGGGGGATATTCTTATATTGCAGACCTCGCTCATTCCATTCAGAGAGCTGAGCTGCTTTTATCCTCAGAAGGGCAAGTGCGATTCCTTTCGCTTGGCAGTCGCTTCCTCTCTCCCCTAAGCCGGGAGTTGGCGACCAGCATTGCGACCTTCCTGCACTTTGAGGAGAGGGCACGTACCTCCAGTCCTCCCAAGCCTGCCCTTCACCCCTGCCAGTGACATTGTTTGGGCCTAAGAAACAGACTTGCTCACAGCCAGTGTAGGAGGAGGTGGAGCCTGAGGATTCATGGAAACTGCTGCGCACTGGCTAGTCCTCTCTGGACTCCAGTCTAAACGCTGGAGGGAGTTGATCTGCCTAGCTTGGCTAATTACCACTGTCTTTACAGGACGGTCCCTGGCGCCAGGTCTTTGGCTCAGCACTGTGAAAAGAATGCCTGGCATTGCTTTGCTGAGCACGAACTAGGCAGGCTAGTTCCTCTTTCATAAAGACTTGCCCCAACCTCTAGGCCCTTTCTTTTTTGCCCCTCTCCTGAAACACTGTATCACTTGTGAATTGCCAACCCTCACTTTAAAAAAAAAATTGTTACATTAGTTATTTCTAAAGATACTTGGTACTTGTGTTCATCTGTTCATCGATATTTAATGAGCACCCCTGAGAAGATATATAATGAATAAGGCACAGAGTGCCTCACTCCAGAAGAGCTCTCAGATGATACAGTTACCATTAAGCATGATCAGGGCTGTGAGGGGGAAGTGGGAGGAGCATAGGTGTCTTGGGTGGGCACCTCAACTGGACTAGAAGGTGCAGGGAAGGCTTCCAGAAGCAGTTACCAAGTAAAGTAGGACCTGAATATTGATTAGGTGTCAGCCAGATGAGGGGAAGGTTTGTGGAATAGAAAGCATCTTCAGGGCAGTGGTAAAAGTAGACATGGGGCCTTCTGTGAGAGCATGCTGTGTTTTTGAGGGATTGAAGCAGATGAACAGTGAGGGGGGAAGTGGCTAAAAGGGTGCCTGGGCAGGGCTGCAAAGGTACAGATTGAGGGGTTTTAAGCAGTGGATTAACACTGTGGAGAATGGCTCCTTGTCTCTTTGTGGAGAGCAGATTGGCAGAACACTTAGGCTGTGTGGCTGTCCAGATTTGAGATAGTGGCCTGGTCTAGGTTGGGGGCAGAAGGGATGCCAAGGGGTGGGTGGCATTAGAGACACCCCAGAGGTAGTACCGACAAGGCTTGGAGTAGACTCAGGAGATGAGGAGTGGAGGCTTCTGGTAGAACAGTTGAAGCAGGAGTGGTACTTTCCTGAAGGTGCAGAACACAGGCAGAGTGATCCTGGGCTCTATTTGGGATGTGCTGAGGTGGAGGTGGTTATACAGATATGAAGCCCAGGAAGCATATCTGGGCCAGAAATCTGGATATGTGGATCATCACAAGCAACTTGTGATGAAAGTCACAGAGTCAAACCCCAATATTTTAAGGATGATTGAGAATGGTCAGAGGCAAGGAGGGAAACCAGGAAGGTTTGCTATCACAGAAGACAGGAGGTTAAAGAAGTTTGACTCTGTGAAGGGGAGGTAACCCCTCCCCCTGGAGAGACTGGAGGATGTGCAAATGATGATCAGGAAGGAACGGGTGGAGGGAAGCTGGAGACACTTGACCCTTGAGAGGGTGGGAGAGGATGAGATCAGAGCTGGATGGTAGAATTAGCCCTTGGAAGTTAGCTGAAAGAATTTTTTACTGATGACTTTTCTCTGTGAAGACTTCAAGGCCATTTGAGAGTGGGTGAAGAAGGGTCTTCTGAGGAAACAGAATGGTCAGGCATCTCAGTGGACCCAATTAGAGGCATCAGTTGGCCCTGCAGTGCATAGCAAGTAGGGTGAGGCCTGGAGAAGGGAGGAAGTGGATTAATCTGTGGTTGGGGTTTTGAGGATGTGTCAAGAAGTTAAGATATTAATAAGAGTGTGAAGGAATTTCAGCTGGTTGGCAGGAAGAAAGAAGGGGGTGGGGGTGAGGTTGCTGGGGAAGACAGGGGCCAAGGGCCTGGGGGAGAAGTTGGTGAGATCCAAGGATAGGAGGGCTAGAAGGGTTAGTGGAGGTTGTGGTCTGAGCAGACTTCCTTCATAGGAGCACTGCAAGTGACTGGAGAAGCCTTCACCCCCATGGTAGCAGTGGTGTCTGGGGGGAAGGCACAGGTCAGGGGCAAGGAGCCTAAACTAGAGGCCTTCGCTTTCAGTCACTGAAGAGGCATGATGGATAGCAGGTGCCAGTGCAGAGAAGGTGGTGAAAGTCAAATGGCATATGCCACAAAGGAAGAGGATTCTTTGAGGGTAGAGAATCAGTCTGGAAAAGCAACAGCTGAGAACAAGGAAATTGACCTCCCCTCCCCACCTGAAGGTTTTTGGGTGTAGGAGACGGAGCAGCAGAGAGCTGGGGCAAGAAGTGCCTTTGAGGGGCCAGGTTTTAGTTAAGCAGGATGATTTAAGAACAGAACACAGAATAGAAACTGTGGGGGAGAAGCAAGTGAGGGAAGTCATGAAACATTGCTAAGAGGCATGCTAGGACATGATCCAATGTTTGCTATTTAAGTCTAGAACTCCATTAACACAGTCCTCATTTAACTCAAGTTCTGTTTTAAATTAAGCTTACTTTGGTATTATTGGTATTACAATGAGATTCAGAAATAGGTGACAGATCTAGACTATTGGTTGAATTATTCAGAGCTGAGTATTTTAAATTCCTGTTTTTTAAAAATCTAAGCAAACTTTTTGTTTGATACAGATGATGTCTACCGTAGAAAAGCCTCAGAAAGACAATATCAGAGAAGGCTGGAAGATGAATGAGAGACTGAGCTTCAGCAGTCAATAAAGTGAATATGAATTTTCACTATTGGTTTCAACACCTGTGAAAGCGTACTTTTGAGATCTCTTATTCTTATACAGCTTGTCCTTTAGCAGCTTTATAGTATTCTAAGAACTGTCTTTATAAGGAATTTTTATAGTTTTGCCATCTCTGCTTGAATACTTCCCAACTAATTGCTGGGCAGCACTTGTGGGAAAATTATTTCCTCCTGAAACACTTACCCAGTGACAGTCCATGAAATATTTCTTAAACAATTCAAGGATCAGTCGGGATGCTTTTCAGTGCAGTCTGAATTGTTTGTGAAGCCCTTTGTTTTCAGGCAACTAATGATAACCTTATTTACTTTTTTTTTTTTGAGACAGAGTCTCACTGTGTTGCCCGGGCTAGAGTGCTGTGGCGTCATCCTAGCTCACAGCAACCTCAAACTCCTGGGCTCAAGCGATCCTTCTGCCTCAGCCTCCCAAGTAGCTGGGACTACAGGCATGCGCCACCATGCCTGGCTAATTTTTTCTATGTATTTTTAGTTGTCCAATTAATTTCTTTCTAATTTTAGTAGAGACGGGGTCTCGCTCTTGCTCAGGCTGGTCTCGAACTCCTGAGCTCAAAAAATCCGCCCGCCTCGGCCTCCCAGAGTGCTAGGATTACAGGCATGAGCCACCGCGCCCGGCTGACCTTACTTACTTTTTTGCAGAATTCAAATTAAATCATGGACACATTCTCCATTGCAAGATCATTTAAACCAGGATAATTATGCAGATTACATCTCCGCCAGCTACCAGATTATAATCTTTTTTTCTAGGAGAGTAGGAATTCCTGACTGACTACACATTACTCATGCTAGTATTGTGAACAGAAATAAGCCCCTCCCTTGCCTGGCTCCACTAACATACAAGGGCTAGACCTCCATGAGGACTGTGGGTAACAGGCTTCATACCTCTCTGTGATGAAGATGCTGTTCTTTTATCCAGCCACTAATGATAAAGACAGTTGCTCCTTCCATAAGAAAGTGAAACTACACAGTGTAAAGCAGACTTAAGCTAAATCAGAGGCTTAGTCTATTGAGAGATTTGGTAGTTTGACTCAGTGTAAGTTTGGGTCTGCCTGGTAAAAAAAGCAAAGATGTCTTCCCATGCTTGGATAATCATATCTAACATTGTTTCAAACAAAATATCTACATGCTGTAGAAGATTAAGTTTCAAAATAGTTTCTGGCCAGGTGTAGTGGCTCATGCCTGTAATCCTAGCATGGTGGGAGGATTACTTGAGCTCAGGAGTTCAAGACCATCCTGAACAAGAGCAACTCCCCATCTCTACTAAAAATAGAAAAATGAGCTGGGTGTCATGGTGCACACCTGTAGCCCCAGCTACATGGGAGGCTGAGGCAGAAGGATTGCTTGAGCCCAGGAGTCTGAGGTTGCAGTGAGCTAAGATGATGCCACTGCACGCTACCTGGGGTAATAGTGAGACTTTGTCTTAAAAAAAAAAAGTTTCTAACTATTGCACAGAATAAAGCTCCTCATGCTTAAGGCCATAAGATATCTTCAAGTTAATGATCTCTGCCACAAACATGTCTTCTCCTAAATTTTTCTAGAGATTTTTTTTCTATTTTAATTTAAGTTAGTCCACTTATGTTAGAACCAATTCAGTAAAGAATCACTAACTGCGCAGTGGCTCACGCCTGTAATCCTAGCACTCTGGGAGGCCGAGGCGGGAGGATTGTTTGAGGTCAGGAGTTCGAAACCTGCCTGAGCAAGAGCGAGACCCCGTTTCTACTAAAAATAGAAAGAAATTAATTGGACAACTAAAAATATATAGGAAAAAATTAGCCGGGCATGGTGGCGCATGCCTGTA